AATAGTAAGCAGCACAAAAGTTTCTGACCATATAAAGCGACTCCACACAACTATGCTTTGCAAGCAACGGAAGTGATCTCCTGAAGCGCAGATACTTGTATTGCTGAAAAAGATTGGGCAAATGTTTAACAGCAGAATATTCTTATCCACATACCATATATCAGACTTTGGAGTTAAAAATATGTCACATTTTAAACTCAGAAATGATTTCAGATACTGCAAGATCCTGATAGATATTAAGAGTACGTTTTCTTCTATTTTAGAATTACTCTCTTCCCAAATATTGTATTACTATAGGTTACTGGCTTGGATCCAAAGGTGTCCTACATGAGTGGAAAGGCACTTCTGCGTGTGCATGGCAGCCAAACCAAATTATTCTGATTTCCCCATCCTGCCACAGCCCCACTCTGCTGGATTCTAGGGAGTCCCCCAAATCCTCAAGGGCATCCTTTGCATATGGAACACAAGGGCTTGTAAAGGGGGAGCAGCCTAGAAAACACTATGGGAAAAGCAGAGTTCTTTGGATCCAACCCACTGTACTGTGGTAAAATGGCTACAATAAACTGAATTACTGTCACATGGCAGCAAAGCCCAACTATAACAGGGTGACAGACAATCTCAAGAATCATTTGTTTGGATCCTGAGAACTGCAAGCGGATATAAGAGATTGTTGAAAGAAGGAAGCTCTGCTCATGTGGCCAGCGTGACTAAAACGCTTCTGGCACAACAGAACACTGTGACGGAAGCCAGAGTGCATGGAAACGCTGTTTATCTTCCCGCCACAGTGATACCTATTTATCTACTTACACTGGTGTACTTTCGAACTGCTAGGTTGGCAGAAGCAATGGGAGTTCACCCTGTCACACAGATTCAAACCGCTGACCTTCATGATCACATAAAAGCAAAAGCACTACAGGTGGCCCAGTGTTTGAATTCTATTCCTGCTGTTACTTGCGCACTTACCTGTATAACTGGAAATGGAAGGTAGTTCAAATTGTTAACAAGATACCGAAGGCTATAGCTGTAACCCATAAAGGCTCCAAGAAGCAAGAGGAAGAGGTGGTACTCATTCAGGCACATGTGCAGATCAGCATCAGCTACACTGAAGCAAAGCAGTAATTTTAGCCTTTAGTTGCACAGGAAGATAATAACTCTATACTTAATTCTACTTTTAAGGAAATGTTATCCAATTTTGAAAAATCAAGGTGGCGGAGGACTCATTCCAAAACACTGTCCAGCAACTATGAAAAAAAGTTTTACTCTCGTTTATCTATTACATAATAAACAGACTGAAACACACATTCCCCAACTTTATATTCAATTCGCCTTGTAGATATACATAGGTACTCATATGGTACTGCAAGGAGGTGCTCATTTTTAACTACTGACTTTTTAAAAAATAATAAAAATTGCACAAATATTGGGGGGCAGTGGCAGCATCCTGAGCACTATCCAACAGATAACTGCAACCGACTACAGTGGTACCTTGGGTTAAATACTTAATTCGTTCCGGAGGTACGTTCTTAACCTGAAACTGTTCTTTACCTGAAGCACTGTTCTTAACCTGAAGCACAATTTCTGTTCTCATCCTGAAGCAAAGTTCTTAACCTGAGGTAATATTTCTGGGTTAGCAGAGTCTGTAACCTGAAGTGTATGTAACTTGAAGCATATGTAACCCGAGGTACCACCGTATAATCCTTGTGGGATCACTGGCTGGAGTTAGCTAGTGTGAGAATTGCATTTTCTCAGCAACCTTGACTTGCGTTCTAAAAATAGGGAAAAGGCTACAGAAAAAGGTGCAGCCTCTTTGGAGAATTTTAATCCAGGTTTGTAAATAATTACATGTATTATTTTTAGTCTGCAAAAATGTTACTAACTTCCTATAGAAGCTACAGTATAGGGGAAGCCCTGTCCTCTATGGACTTCATGGAAATGCAAGCTTCTAGCCATTTGGCAGGCTAGTTGTCAACAAAAACCCTTATCCTGAGGAGCTTAGAAGAGGAGAGATGGAGCAAACATTCCCTCCTCCACCAAGTCTCTCCTTGCCTCACCTGTCGCTACAAGGCTACTTTTATCTTCTGCACCCAAAAGGTCACAAGTACACAGCAATTTATTTCTCATCTTCCTACCAGCTTTCTATACTTGCAGCAAAATGAGAATCACCTAATGTGAACTATCTGGCAGCATTTCATTATTAGCATTCGCAAGAAGTTACATTTTAATAAACAGCTCTTGAACCACCCCCAGGGTTACCTTTCTGTAGCTGTGCAGGGTACAGATAAAAAGAGAAACTTCCCCTTCGTCATAACTGCTGCACACCAAGCTACCAGCATTCCCATTACAGCATGAGCAACGGAGTGGATCACTTGCTGCGGGTGGATAATCTTGCTTATCAGAGCTAACCGGGAGCAAGGAATAGAAGGCACAACTGCAAAGTAAGAAGGCAAATAAGAACATTTAACCACCTCCTGACTTAAAGGGTATCAACGTTACGTACATACTTTGTGTCACATTTCAAGACACTACATTCAGGCAATCACTGCTCCACATTTAAGCACTCATGAGTTCAGTGTAGGAAAGTGAGTTCTTTAAAAAAAGCCAAATCAGACCTTCAGGAGTGGAGAATGGTCTTTAAGGATTTAGCACAGCATTTAGAGTTTTTCCACATTTATTAATGGAGAGTTTTAAGAGCAAAGGTAGGAAACTAAGTTTCTACTGACACACAAAGAAACAGATTCCAAAGTTTAAAACAAAGCCTAACGTTATGCACAGAGTTAAGCACAAATCAGCAAATCAAACAGCACTTTTTAAGCTGATGCAGCTTTCAACACCAACCTGCATGAAACTCAACGTTGAAGATGCTTATTACCAGTATGACCACAGACATTAGCAGTATGCAGAAAATAACGTAGGAGGTATACAGGTCATTGAATGAGCCTAAGACAGGGGAAAAAATATGAATCAGAAGTACTATACAACAGATCTACTACTAGATCTTAGTGCCTACAAGGTTGGGCTGAGACCTAGGGGGTCTTTGGTGTATCTCTCACCTCAGCCATAAACTCAGCGATCACATTCACACATCACGCTAAACCATTGTTGCTGTTGTTACTGTTATTACCCTGCCTTCCTCCCAGTCCAGAAATTGTAATTCCAGAGGTAACTCTGATAATACCTCTGGCATGTCTGCATGGAGGATACAGAGGGGTGTGTGAGTGTGTGCAGCAACCAGCCTACTGTACAAAGGCACCATTTACATTTGTTGCTCTACCTACTTTTGCCTCTGCCCCCCCCCCACCATTGGCATGGGGCCCTCAGGCTGAAAAAAATGATCCCCATCCTTGCTCTACATGTAATACGAGAACACTGGCCTAAATGTTAGGGCTGTTGTAAGGATTGCTGGGATAATATGCCCAAATAATGTTGAATAAAAAACTGCACCAATACTGCTCTGTAACATTTGTCTCAGGCAGGGCACTGACATACTTGTGATCCATTGTACCGGGTGGAAGAAGTCAATGCTGCTGATGCTGATGAAGGCTGCAATACAGAGAGGAAGCAGCAGCACCGACCAAGCAAGGCTTGCAGCTGCTCTCCATCCCAAGATCTGGAAAGGAAACAAAAACGTATCCAAACACAGACTCCATAAACCGGGATGTAGATGTAGACAAATTGCCCATTTAAACAGTTACTCAAGATGAACCTCTCTCAAGACTGGTGGAGAGGTGGGGGAAAGAGAAATAGAACTTTTGGAAAACTTTAAGTCAAAAATGAGTTACCGTATTTTTCGCCCCATAGGGCGCACCAGCCCATAGAGCGCACCTAGTGTTTTTTTTGGGGGGGGAATAAAGAAAAACATTTTTATTCCCCCCCCCCCAGGCGCAGGGCTGGGGTGGGGGAAGGCCAAGCTTCCCCCAGCCCCCAGAACAGGCTGCTATCCGCAAGCCTAGGGAGCCTGGCAGGAAGTCGCGCCGGTCTCCCCAGGCTTGCGGATATCTGCCCAAAAGCCCGGGGCGCGTGGCTCAGCTCGCCCCAGGCTTTGGGGTGCAGGCAGCTCCCACTGCCAGCCTCCAAACCAGGTTGGGGAACAGCGGGAAGGCGCACTCCGCCTCCCCGCTGTCCCCAAGCTTGTGGGGCTGGCGGTGGGGAGCAAACAACCCCAGCTCCACTCCCACCTAGAAAACGTTGGTGCCACCTTTTCCTGGCAGCATTCCTCTGCTGTTATAGCAGCATGCATGCAGAGGTTCAACGAAGACAGCCTTTCCCAGGATGAAAAGGGCCAACCGACCTCTTGGGCAGCAACTTCTGCTTCAGTCTAAGGCAGGAACCTTAGGTAGGAGAACTGGCAACCCGATACAGTACTGGAAAGTAATGGCAATTCTACTGGGCTATGTTCTCATAAAGAAACAACACCCTACTCCAGTTTAACTTGCCTGCAGTTCTCTTCAGTTCTCCCCAAAAGATAAAACTGAATGAATCTTGGCAGTTTTACAAGCCTGTGCTTAAAAACTATGGGTTTATTGGAGCCAATCCAAAGCGAGAGTCCCCCGCCCACTTGCCAAAGGGAGGAATTGGGAACCCATTGATACCTCTGAGGCATGAAGTGACGTTGCGCAAACACGCATTAGCTTTATTCGGGTGTTCGTGCACACGTGCTTAATGCGCGCGCATTCATACATACATTTAGCTGTTCCCGCGTGGAATGAAACATCATCCCTCGCCCTCCCATGCCGCTCGCGGATAGGAACTGCTTCAGTTCCCGGATGCTATCCCAAGGAGCCCTGCTCCCGTTGCCAAGAGCAGGGAATAGCTTCAGTGACGTTAATTTAGCGCGTCCGTCGTCGGTGTGGCGCTTTAGTCCACCGTTTTCTAAGCGGAAGTTTAGTTTCTTACGGAGTCCCGGTAGAAAAGGGGGAGGAAGTAAGTGAGATGCGCATATATATATATATATATATATATACATACAGTATATTTTTTTAAAAAATCATTAAATATTTAATATATACAATATAGTATTTGAAAATATCCATTATATAATGTTGTTGGCATCCGTCCCTCTCGAGAGACAATGGAAGAGCGCAAGCCTGGGCAGTGTGCATGGAGGTGCTGGGCTGCCTAGCCCTAGATGACAAGACACCCCCCCCGGCCTCGCTTTCCTTCGTCTCGGGAGACAATGGAGTGCTCCTCCGGTGGTGAAGACAATAGCAGCACCAAAGTGACCTTCCCAGGGCGCAAGTCTGAGGAGCGTTTATGGAGGTACTGGGCTGCCCAGAAAACACAATCCCCCTCTCGGGCCTCGCTGCATGTGGTCCAGAGGAAAGCAAAACGGTACATTTGACACTAGGGTGGCTGCAGAAGTTGACAGAAGAAGGTCTACAATGCACTGTCCAACCGTCTTAGGCACTCTACTCCTGATTTGTCCCGCAAGGCAGTGGACAGAGATTATTCCTCAAGGTTTACTCCCAGCAGGAGGAATGCAGTTTGGTTTCAGCACACGGAATATGATAGTAGAGCAAGTCTACTGCCAGATGGATGGAAAAACAATTAAGGTTTATTGGAACTTCTTAGTTTCCCATGTCTCTACTGATTAGCAATAAATCTTTGAGTGAACCATGCCAATGAAAAATAAGCTTTTGAAAAATATGTGATTGCTAATGGTCTTCTCTCTGAACTCTTATTTCTCATTTTAGCACCTCAGAGGATCTCAGGGGCCCAAGGAACAGGTGGAGGAGGGAGTGTGCAGCTTGGAGTCTGCAGCAGAGATGGTGAACGTGGGGTTGTCTCGTGTGGACGAAGCGGTGGCAGCCAAGCACCCGGGGCTACAAGAATATACTGCCTGCCAGTCTTACGCATTCATGAAGGGCATGGGGACATTTATTACAGTCTCCGGAATGGCTTTTGCTCTTCAAAAATTCATCCGGAAGATTCACTACCCGCTCCAGTGGAACATCCTGCTCTCCTTTGTTGCAGGTTCAGTTGCAAGCTATACAGTGACTCGATGGGAGACACAGAGGTGTTCTGACTTATGGATCTTTCTGGAAAACAAACAACCCAGTGTCCCAGATGTAGCCAAAGAGAAAGTGCCCCATTTGGACCCCCAGAAGGAGACAGAGGCCGGTGCAAAAAGGAACAAGTATGGAGATGTCATGGACTAGCCTGAAAATCCTATTGCAGAAATTTAACGCCTTTGGCTCATGGAGTCAACCCATTAAATTGGGCGGGGGGGCAATGGATGGAGGCAGAGCAAATGACACTACACAACTTTTCAAAGACATCTGAAGCAGCCCAGTATCAAGAAGTTTTTAATGTTTGGCGTTTTTATTTGTGCTGGAAACCCAGCCAGATGGGCAGGGTATAAATAATAAAATGATGGTGATGATGATTATGATTTATTTCACTATAAACCACCCCCCCCATTAACTTCCCCACTAGTTCTGATATGGCAAAGATAAGGCTACAGTATTAGCAGTGAATGTCCAATTTCTTGTTTAATACGAGCCCAGTCTGCGACCTTCATGTGCTGGTTCTGTCACCCTTAAAGGTAAAGGGACCCCTGACCATTAGGTCCAGTCATGGCCGACTCTAGGGTTGCGGCGCTCATCTCGCTTTATTGGCTGAGGGAACTGGTGTACAGCTTCCAGGTCATGTGGCCAGCATGACTAAGCTGCTTTGGCGAACCAGAGCAGTGCACAGAAACGCCGTTTATCTTCCTGCCGGAGCGGTACCTATTTATCTACTTGCACTTTTTACGTGCTTTCGAACTGCTAGGTTGACTGTCACCCTTGCAGTCAACAAATAGTGTAATAGTATATTTCTCCTTGGCAGAGGAATCCAACTCATCCACGGAATTCCGAGCCGACCATCTACCTTTGTGGCCCTCTACTGACCCAGACCTGATAATGGACTTGATATTAGATCTGAAAACGGGCAAAGCCCCCGGGCCGGATCTAGTCCCTGCTGAAGCTATTGTTGCGCAACCGAGGTGGTGGGCTGAAATTCTGGCCAAAGTCTTTGATGCAATTAATTCTACGGGGCTTATCCCTAGGTCATGGAAGGAGGCCGTGATCGTGCCAGTCCATAAAAAGGGTCCCCCTGCTGACCCGGAGAACTATCGAAACATCAGCCTTTTGTCTATCATCGGGAAAATCTATGCAAAATTTTTGCTGTCTAAGTTGTCCCATTGGGCAAACGACTCAAATTTGATTGGCCATGAGCAAGCGGGCTTTAGGAACAATTATTCGACCACTGACCATATGGTAATTATGTATCATCTTGCCAGGAAATATTCTGCCCCGAGTCGGGGGCGCCTATGTGTCGCTTTCATAGACCTAAAGGCCGCCTTCGACAGTATCCCAAGAAATTGTCTATGGAAGAAATTAGAGAGATGGGGCATAGATAGAAGGCTGTTATGGCTTATAACCCAATTACACCACGGGTCGTCGGCTAGAGTGAGACTCACACCGGCGGGAAACCTATCCAACGAAGTCCCAATAAATAGAGGTGTGCGCCAAGGCTGCATTTTGGCCCCACTCCTCTTCAACTTGTTTATTAGCGATATGAAGCTCTTTCTGAATGAGTCTCAAGCCAACATTCATGCCCCCCGCCTAGCTGATTTTCGCTGCCCTCTGCTCCTATATGCCGACGATGCAGCGATCCTTTCCTACTCTAGAGTCGGTTTATGCAGAGCTTTAAAGATTTTTGCGGCTTATTGCAAACTCAACCATCTGACAATTAATCATGGGAAATCTAAAGTCCTGGTCTTTACCAGGTCTCAGAAAACTTACAGCTGGAAGTTAGATGGAGTCCAATTAGAACAGGTTTTCAAATTTAAATACCTGGGAGTCTTTTTTCACTACAACCTAAGCTGGAAGCCACAGATACAGTATCTACTAAACAAAGGGAAAACAATACTTTATACTCTACTCCAATTTTTTGCGGCCGACGGAGCCTCCCACATCCCTTCTGCATTGAAGGTATACCATGCAAAAGTGGTTTCCACCCTCTGTTATGCTGCCCCGCTCTGGGCCCCAGGGTCCAATTTAACATCGCTGGGGACATTGCAGAATCAGTTTCTCCGTCGCCTCCTGAAACTCCCCATGTGTGTGAGCAACGCAGCCATACGTCTGGAGCTAAGGATTGCATCGTTGGAGACTGTCATCTGGAAGCGAGTCTTTGGCTATTGGCTGTCCAGCTGGCATAGGCTTCCCGACCACTACCTTTTTCAGTGCCTTTGGCGGGACGACTTTGTCAATCCGTGGGTAGGAAAAATCCATGCCAAACTTCTGAGCATCGGAATTTCCCCAGCGGACTCCTTAAAGATGAACTTACGCTCAGCCAAAAGCCTTATCGAGCAAAGATTAGCAGACATTGAAAATCAACACAACCTCACCAGGGGCGGGGGTGTCTGCTCCCCCAGGTATCACGGAATAACCCCACCACTTGGCCTTCCATCATACATGTCATCTCTTTCATCTGTACCACACCGACTTGCATTTATTCGTGCAAGGTTCAATGTTCTTCCATCGAACCTGCTGAGCCACAGATTTTCCAAGGGTTTGGTGTCTCCGCTATGCGTGTGTGACGGGAAAACTGTTGAATCTCTTCCACATATAATGTTCAACTGTCCCCTACATAGCATAGCCAGGACTAAATTCCTGGGCCCTGCTTTACTGCGCTTGGTTGGCAGGCCTGTTGAGTCACACGCCGCACTGCTTTTGCAGGATACAGATCCTTCTGTAACTCTGCAGGTGGCGAGATTCCTGAATGCGGTTATCTCACACACAAAAATCACCAAAAAACAGCAACAACATCAAAAATTAATCGGACAGTTATGATGAGAGTGCATGTCGGATCTCGTCTTCAGTTTTCCTTTTTCTGTGAACCGTCCCTTAGAGCTCTCCGGGCCCCAAGCTGTTATTTGGCTCTGCTCAATGACCCTCCCTTGCATCGTGGTGTTCACCTTCTGTTGTCGGATATACTGGTCTTTATGCCTCTGTGCTTTTATGTTTGTACATACTTTATGGGCTAATAGCCGTAAATAAATAAATAAATAAATAAATAAACAAACAAACAGTGGTTGCTTCACCTGGTCTCATGGGTGGGCTGGCCCTGGTATATATTGTTGCATGCCACCCCAATCTCTGAGCGGTGGAAGATCCCAAGGGTTCCATGCGCTTACCCGGGGTCCATGTTTCCTTTTGGAAATGAGACACAGCAGAGACTGTGGTGTCTTTATGATATATGGTTTATTTACACATATATACAACCTGAGCCTACGATGGAAGGGCTCACAGCAGACCCCCCAAAAGGGTCTTCTCTCATAGTCACAGCCTTGGATTCAGACAGACATCAAACATTGCTCTCCCACCTCGCTGTCTCTCCAGCTTACAGTTTTCCTAACTCCTCTTCTCTAAACTCAGCCTTTATCTGTTGAAGGAGGGAAGGCCCGCCTTTTGCCAATCTAGCACAACAAGCACTTTGATCCTTGGTCCTCTTAATGGCCCATCGCCCAGGATGCTAGCCTGGCTTAATTAGCTTTTGACACTTGCTGCATCCAGGAATCAGAAGTGTCTAGCACTCAGCTTAACACACAAGCCTTGATTAAATCTAACACCTGCTGGGTCCAAGGATTATAGAGGGCTAGGACCCACAAACTCATAAAAATATTATGGTTTGTATCCAATGCTAGTCCCACTCAGAGTAGACCTTCTGAAATGAATGAATATGACTAACTTGGGTCCACTAATTTAAATTGGTCTTTTCTGAGCAAAACTTAGTCAGTTATAATTATGTTTGTATGCATATGCTCCCATCCTCCCCACAAAATCCTGTGGATGCTGATGATGTATTATAAATACAGCAAAATATACAGGCTTTTGGGAAGAAATACTTAGAAATGTTGGTGGCATTTTGAGTCATTTTTATTTGATGACAAAACAAGAATTATGCAGAAGATAAAAAATAATAAATTATTAGGGTTTAAATCTACAGCTGAAATTTTTAGGATTCAAATCTCCAGGTGAAATTGATTCCACTGAACTGAACCCTTTTTTATCTTTTGCTTCAACAGAGCAGAATTTCATCTAAGTCCGTTACTAGTTGATCATTCAAGTGTCAGGTACTATGAATTTAGATGGTTTTGCTGATGTGTCATTAAGAACTTTTGGCTTTCGCTGATGCATCTTTTCAGATCTTTTGGGTTTTCTTTTTTTCAATATGGGAAAGCCCCAATAAAGCAATATCCCACAGATGAAGAAATATATATCTGAGGAGGGAAGGACAAGCAAGTTAGTATTATGAATCTAAAATGCAGAATGCTGAAGGCATCAAGTTCTAGAGCATCTTTGCTACTGTCACACAATTTGTCCAGAATAAAAAACTTAGAAAGGAGAGAAAAACCTGTAAACTTGCATTTATCCTTGTTCTGAAGCACTTCTTAGTTTTGTTGCAGGTTTGTTAATGTGTTTTAATTGTACCAGATACGTTGCAAAGGTCCATTTTTATTTTAATAGAACATATTCAGATTTTGGATGTGGGCCCTCATGTATTCCAGTTCTAATTCTAATCTGTAGAAATACTCATCCGGTAACAAAAAATGATCATATCCATGAAATGCACCCAGAAGGATACAGATAAGCACTGAAGCAAGCCTGTTAGCTAATTAAACATGACTGTCTCTGTATGCTATCACATAGAGAACTGTCAGATGTACTATGTCTAAATGGGAGGGTGGGGAGTGATAAGTGGGTTTACAGCATTTTCTCACACTTCACTGTGACCAAGAATCATCACAAGATACTATGCAGTTGTGAGCAAAATTGATTTTTAAGGTTCAGGGCTACTAGGGGCATTTTGCCTCTATCCTACTGGTGTCTCCAGGCTCATATATTGAGTTTTCCCTGCATAGGTGAGTTGCTGAAATTCATTCATGATGGCGAGGGGAATTAAAAGGCTGCTTAATTTGTCCAGCAGTGCCACACTTGCCTTGTGCAGTGTGTCATCACAGCTGCTGTGGCACAAGAACAGCAAGCAAGGATGTAATTAGAAGACCCACCTGAGAACCCAAGCACACTTAACATAGAATTCGACCCAACAAGCATCACTGCTTAAATTGAAGTGAGTTATAGCAAGACCACCAACATAGGGCGTAACTTTTGAAATGCTTACCTTTGTTACTGTTCCTTTATTGCTCTTATTGTTACATTTTGTGGAAGCGTAGTAGTTGGCATAACAAGATCCAGTTCAGGGGCATCAAAAAAGTATGCCTACATTATTGGGGAAGGTGAGAAGAAGGGACAATAGTATATTACGAATATCACAGGTTAACCTTTATATTGTAGTTTTTACATTTGTATTGCTTATGTGGGCAGGGAAGATGTAATACAACCATTAGCTTTAGCACTGGATTTTAAAAGATGACTGCAATACCAACTATATTGATTTAGTGAACAAATGAAACCAAAACAGATTATAGTATCAATTAATTTTATGGGGAAAAAGCCAAAAAAGTTTACACAAGCAAGTAAGTGCTCAAGGCATGGGATTTAAGCATGTTCAACCTACTGGTTTTATACCCTACTCCAATATAGGAACACTTAGCCACTTAAACAGCGTTTAAGCCAGTCACTGATAGGCATTTGTAGACATGACTTGGTACAGAAATCCTATTTTTAAAATGCTACCCATTTCTAGAGTTATTTACAGTAAGTACAACCACATTTATTTGTGTGGATTGCAGATTTTCTCCATGAATAAAGGTCTCCATAGGTGAAGCTTTTAACTGTTCATGAAAACTGACCTAAGAAAAAACTATTGAAAAGTTAGGAAACAACTGTCATACCAAGCAACCAACAGCAAGCAAGGCATTGAGAAGTACCACCGTCACAATTGTAGCCACTGCAATCCTTCGGTTGTCATCTCTAACAGCAGGCCAAAATGTCATCACTAAGACAGATCCTGAAAGGCACAAAGCAAATACCACCAAAACCCATCTGAGAGCTTTCTGCGGAATAATCCACAATATCTGTAAAGAAAAAGAAAGGAAATGCAGTTCTAGTTTTTGCTGGTTTGAATCAGATAAAATCTTACAGAAAAACAGTTTTCTAGATTTTAATGAGAAAATTAGTAAGAGCACCCACAAACGGTTTCTATATATAACCAATGTCTTGAACTCAATACTGAGTAAAGTTATAAACTGGCTGCTCTTCAAGACATAATCTAGAACTGTGGCCCACAATACAGTGCACAATGATGCATATTGGAATACATTACATGTAAATGGCACTTATGTGGCTCTTTGCTGTGTAGTGAACAGTAAGGGTAAAGGTAAAGGGACCCCTGACCATTAGGTCCAGTCATGGCCGACTCTGGGGTTGCGGCACTCATCTCGCTTTATTGGCCGAGGGAGCTGGCGTACAACTTCCGGGTCACGTGGCCAGCATGACTAAGCGAACCAGAGCAGCACACAGAAACGCCATTTACCTTCCCGCTGGAGCGGTACCTATTTATCTACTTGCACTTTGACGTGCTTTCGAACTGCTAGGTTGGTAGGAGCAGGGACCGAGCAACGGGAGCTCACCCCGTCATGGGGATTCGAACCGCCAACCTTCTGATCGGCAAGTCCTAGGCTCTGTGGTTTAATCCACAGTGCCACCCGGATCCCTGTAGTGAACAGTAGGCAATGGCTATTTCCAGGAAAATACTCTGCATTGCTACTGTCCAAAATCCACCATCAATCCCTCCCTTCCTTCAACAAGTTAAGATACTGATGATACTCGATACACAATTTTTTTGTTTCATTTGTCAACTAAAGGGGTCTCAAAAAAAAAAAGGATCTGTCAAAAGATTCCAACAGCATCTCAGATGGCACCCATGTTCAAGCAGCAGCCCTACAGAAAAGTATTCCTCAGTGTAGCCACTTGAAACAGCATAGTGCATAGAATACATGCGCATAACAGCTGGAGAGAACAGCAAGAAGTATCCCTTCCTTACTTCAGATTAAATTATGTATGCACATTTCTGCAGTTTAGGGCAAATCTCAGTGAAATTTGTCCAGTATTTCCAAGGTGAATTAAGCAGGCCATGCATGGATTTCTCATCTAAACTTCCCATATAAAATGTCAACAATCTGTATTGATCTGTTTATATTATAAAAAAATCAAAACAATTTATTCAGCACTTCCCCAAGACTCTTCATATACTCAGGAATTCTTTATATTGAACTTACCGCTGTTGGAATATAAATGAAAAGTGAATAGCCATAAACACAGACAATCTCAAGAAATGAGTAGGATACAATGTTCACAACTTTACTGTTTCTCCACATAAGAAATCCCCAGAGAGCTAGAGGAACTAGCCAAGCATATGCATAGATGGCTGTAGCAGCTATGGACACTGTAAAGAGATTTATTTCAGCATTCAGAATCACAGCAAAATAATCAAGGCTATCACATCATAAAAATACTGACCTCAAAAGATGTAAATTAAAACTACATAACAGTTGGCTGCATTATTCTGTGTTTGATTGATAATCATCTGGCAGCAGTTAACCTTTTGAAATCAGGTCTCACAGGCTACACCTTAAAAAATGCCTCTGTTATCTCTGTCACTCAGTAAGAGAAATGAAACACTGAATTAGGCTGCCAGAGTTACTGAGCCTCTATAACACAACACCCATACATAACTAAGAGCAATTACCTGATACATGCTTTCTCCTATGGTCACCCAGATCTGCTTGGCTGCTCCCTAAGCCATTCCTGTCTTCACTTGCCTAAGCTCTCAGTCTAGGTCAGGCAATATTATACACACCATATCCACAGCCTCTTCCTTGGTTCTAGTTTGGTGGGGAACTTAGCATCTTGAACTGCCATGTACTTCGGAACAAAACCTTTTATATGGTGGCTAACTATCTTAAATTTCTTCTTCTGTTATCTTAGCTAGAACAGTGAATCACCAGGAATTCAAATGTATTTGGAATACAGTTTTTAACACAAACCTTTTCGGAATTCAGGCACATAATGGAAATCAGGTTTGCCCAGATGGATGAAAAACTTTGAAAGGTTGCCACTGATAGCAATGGCAAAGACTAACGTGGCACATATCCAAAAGGGACCTTAATGGAAACAAAAGCAAAAGATCATTTATTCTGACTGACTGACCCAGTGTTGGGGGGGAAATAAGTTCTTTCATGACAATTTTAGCATTTGCACGTACCATAAAGATCTGGATTACTTCGAATATACAGTCTTACAAAGTTTTTCCCTGGTACTGGAAAAACAGAACCTTTGATTCTGTCGAGGACCTAATAAAAGTAATACAAAACATTTGACTGAAGATAAATTATTTAATTAAATTATTGTGACATCTGAACTAGATAACTGCTTTGAGTGTTTGAAATGGCACAGTTGTCTGGATATCCCCTCTGTATTTTCTTCTTGCTTCAGTTGTAAGAATGGTTTGCTTATCCCTCCACCCCACTTACTTCTTATATTGCTATATTGCTGCATAACACTCGTCCTATTATTTCCATAGTTAGCATCCACAGTTAAGCTGCCATTGAAATTTGATGACTCAGCACACACTAGTAAAGGGTGCAAGCATGCGGCACTTTGAATAACAGGTTGCATTTGTGGACAGAACTCCAGAGACTGAAGTGCACAGCAAACTCTGCTGATAGGTATTATAATAGTGCTACAAAAGTAGTAATCACACATGCATTGATTGGTATTGACAATTTCAAATGGCAGGGAGAGGCAACAGGCCAGATACATTTTCAAAAAGAATGAATCATTTGTACTTTTTTTGTTTGGAGACCTATGAATATGGAAACAAGATGAACTCTGAACAGTTGCAGATAGTATCCACTACCAGCTCTGCTATGCACAAAAAAGCAAGCTGAAGATCACTTGCGCATGGTGCCTTAATAGAGACATTACTGCAGATTACAAACCTGGTATGTATCGACATCAAAAAATGTTTGGTAATACTCAAATGTCCAGAATGGGGCGCTTTTCTTCTGTCCGGCAAGCAACTGAAATTTTAGAAGAAGAGAAAAAGATTGCTAATTCAGTATTAGCAGGTCATTTTAACAGGCAGGTCTTTTTAACTCATAGGAATTGCAAATATATTTGAGCAAAGTGGGAAAAGACATTTCAACTTGGAAGAAGAATTTTGAGCAAAATGTATGCCAAATATATTATTGTTAGGTAAGGTAAAGGGACCCCTGACCATTAGGTCCAGTCATGACCGACTCTGGGGTTGCAGCGCTCATCTCGCTTTATTGGCCGAGGGAGCCGGAGTACAGCTTCCGGTTCATGTGGCCAGCATGACTAAGCCGCTTCTGGCGAACCAGAGCAGTGCATGGAAACGCCGTTTACCTTCCCGCCAGAGCGATTCCTATTTATCTACTTGCACTTTGATGTGCTTTTGAACTGCTAGGTTGGCAGGAGCAGGGACCAAGCAACGGAAGCTCACCCCATGGCGGGGATTCAAACCGCCGACCTTCTGATCGGTAAGTACTAGGCTCTGTGGTTTAACCCACAGCACCACCCGTGTCCCTATATATTTTTGTTACCACCCTACTAATTCTCCAAGCCCATCTTTCTGAAACAGTGTGTGTGGTATTGTCAGGCCACTGGCCACAAGTTCAGACAACCTGGTACCAACAACATGTCCTTCAGTCAACTCTAGCCACTCCACTCAGGAAGTATCTATTTCATCACTGCCTGTTATATGTGTTGTATATAATCTCTTCCAATTTGCAGTCCTGTGGGAAAGCCACACACAGCACTACAGAGGATTCACACACCTCTGGTCAAAGCGGGGAAAGTATTGCCACTGAACAAATATTCCAGTGGCTAGAAAGAAAGAAATTCAATAGAAAGCAATTCAATAAAAGGGTACCAACGAGCCACGTAGAACAGTTTTCACAGGGAATATTCTGAAGTTAATTATTTTTCTTCAATATCTGCTTACATATACAAGTGCCCCAAACCATTAATGTAGTGTTTACCACCTGAGATTGTAACAAGTACGAGAGCACTTTCACAAACCAGCTCCCAGGGCTAACAGAGAAAACAGCAAGTGAATAATAACAAAAAAGCTCTCCTATCCCCATTCCAACCTACACCCCATGAGATATCTTCCAATACTGTGCCTACCCATTGAACACCCTGTCTGGGGTATTAAACTTCTCAGGAATACAATCTTTTTGCTACAGAGCAGCCTGGCCAAGAACTATCCTATGTTTTCTCCTTCTCACAGATGACTACCCCAAGTGGCTTCTGCTGCTATTTACACACAACATATTCAATTTATTTAAAATAGCTGTTGTACTAATTAAAAGCTTGAGGAGGAAAATCAGTTTGTCAGAAAACATCTTTACATTGTCCTCTAACCTCAGTCTTATCAGAATCATCTGTCCCCAATAGCTCATCATCCTCCTCTCTCCCAGAATCTTGGAGATGTCCGTGCTTTGTTTTCGGTTTCTCAGCTGGTTCATCAATGCTTATTGTGACAGCATCCGGATTTGCTGCCAACAAATTGGCTGCATCATCAAATTCTGAAAAACAAATCATTCCAATCAAGTTTAGATTTTCACATTGCTAACTGTCAGGGCATGCAACTGTGTGAAATTAGTAGGGCTCTCCCATCAATATGTTGCAAAGCTTGTTTGGCGCTCAGTTAAAAAGATTACTTTTTTTCCGAGTAAGATGTGCTGCTGGTCTACCTCCTGCACACTAGCTGATGGCAGACCTGAATCTACACCCTAGGGTTGAGTTCATTAGACAGAAAGGCTATTTGAACTAGTGCATATTGAAAGGGGAGCAGCACAGAAACATAAATCAATAGGTGCAGGAGACAAATTAATACTAATGGTATAAACCCACACACATTTTAAGTAATTAGAACTGCAGTAGATTGCCAGAACAGAAACAGTTCACATCTACTGCAATTTTCACCAATGGCAAGCTCCAAAAGGAGTCACTCCTCCTACTTGTCTGCTGTAACTGTCGGCTTTCTATACATTTGAACCAGTGGCATACTACCTAACTGTAGGAACTGAACTGTAACTGGGCTTTCAGTCCTAATTAGAATAAGCACCTAGCAAATTGGCAGAACTTTAAGCGATTACTTAATGCACTCTTCATGTGCAAAATGCTCCATCACTTTTCCCATAATATTCCCATTATGCAGAGACAACTGAGCTCAGTTCCATAACTGATAAACGCTGCTTTTAAAACAATCAGCAGTAATGTTGAGCTCGCAAGACTGTGCATTATGAAACATGGTTTAATTATATAAGTGGCATTAATGCAATGGCCCCATGCACATACTGCAGAATAATTCAGAGACTTTAAGTGTAATTTTATAAGTTACCATGAAACTTTAGGTCATCCACAGTTGCCATTCATGCACCAATGTCCCAACGAAGTGCTCAGAAGTGAAAAATAGCTGGAAAACATGAAGCAGATTAAATACAGTTTCAAATTAAAAATGGAACTCTATTATTCACATATTGACAAAACTGAAACACAGAGCTCTGGAATCTATGAAACATCCTGGAAATCTGAAGAAACCTTCAGAAAGACTCCCAACAAGATTAGTCCACTTCATCCAGATTACTACAAGCAATAAGGAGAATGATATAAATACGGATATAACGGGCAGAATTATTATTATTTACTAAATTTCTATACCGCCCTTCATCCAAGGATCGCAAATAAATGGCTCAGGCAGAGTATAACAGGGGAAAAGGAAAGCAATCCCTCCTTAGTACAGCTTTTTAAATAGAAACATACAAGCCAACTAACCTGGGTGCAACTACCTTTCTGGCAATTAATATAATAAACTAGATTACAAAAAGCAAACTCAAAAGTCTAAGGCCTGAATCACACAAACAAAAAAGCAACCTGATGTCTGCTAGAAATCCAAATGTGATTCCATTTGTTCTTTTTTAATAATATATTAGTCATCTTTGCCTTGTGCAAGGCAACAAAAAGTCACAAACACACAGGATGAAGGCTGCACTGTATCTGTAAGCATGTCAAAATCTGCACCACTGCCAATGATTCTCTTTGGTGATTTACTGTGGTATGGTGAAAAGCTGCCAGATTCATACAGCAGCGGTTATCCTGGATGGCTGTCTTACTATGTGGTCACAGCCCCAGAGGTACCGTTACAGTAGCATTAGCCCTGGTGCTCTTGCTGCTTCTTACACCACATACTGTACACAAAATCTAGGGGCACTTCCTCAGAAGCAGTTTCGTGCTGCTTTATCTTTCAAGTCCTAAGGTTGCTGACGGAATATCCTACTGGAAATCTGTAGTGGTCAAGGTATGGGAAAGCAGGCAGGCAGGTATTCTGGCCACTCAGTGGCGTAGCGTGGGTTGTCAGCACCCGGGGCAAGGCAAGTAATTTGCGCCCCCTAACCCGTGGATTTGCGCCCTCTAACCCGTGGATTTGCCCTAACCCCAGATGTTGCGCCCGGTGCGGCTGGCCCCCCCTGCACCCCCCACGCTACGCCACTGTGGCCACTGCAATCTTCCAGCAGGGAAAGAAAAAACTACCCAGTGCCTAACGCCCCCCCCCCCAAATACCCAACCCTGAAGTGCTTTTGGGGAACCCATGAAGCTAACTTCCAAGCAAATACGCTTTTATTACATGGAGACTGAAGACGTAGCAAGAGACAAGCCTTGATGTAACCAGCAGCCTTGCGCTCGTTACCTATCTATGTGTCAGCCCCAAATCACTTCCCGGTTCCATGCAAATCACCGCCGCTTCCATATTTAATGCCATAAAGGTGGCTGCGAGGGAGAAAACCCACCCTTGGCACTGCTAAGGCGGTTAAAGGACACGAAGGAGGGACCCATCTGTATTAAGAGATGCCTCTTATGGCGGGAAGAGAGGGGCAGCAGCCATCGCTTCCCTTCCCTGCGGTCCTATTTGGGCGCAATGAATAAGCCCCCGGCTGCATCATTCGAACGTGGGGTCTGCGCACCAGGGAGCCGGCATGGGGGTGGTGTTCCACCCGCGCAGACACGGGTCTTTCTCTTTCCTTTTCCCCCTAACGTGTGAAGCCTCCCTTTGGGCCAGGCCGCAGGATGGACCCTCTCCCTCCGTCCCACCCACCCACTCCACGAGGCGGCGCCGCGGCCACTACCTCCCGGTGCCAAAAAAGGGACGCTACGTACCGAGGGCCTGTGTTGCCGGAAACGGCAAGGGCTCGGCGGCTGCTTTAACTTCTCTCCTCCTTAAAGAGACAGGGCGCCCTTTAAGAGGCCCGAGCCGACCGGCGCGTCTCTCTGTCGCTCTCCTGTCCCCTCCCTTTAAAGAGAAAGCGAGCAGCGCCTCCAGTTGGCACCGGGCGCCTTATAAAGCCCAGCAGGTTTGTCGCGGCAGGTGAGATTAGGGGTGCGGAAGCTTGTGCCGCAATAAATGTAACTGTTAACCTTCCAAGCTGCAGCTCTGCCTTTTGCAGAGCTGCTTGTAAAGGACAAACTGCAATCCTATGCATGCTCCCTTGGGAGTAAGCTCCAAGGGCTGCCTGCCTGCAGGTTCTTGAACTGGTTACTCATTCAAACAGCCTCTTTCCCTCCTTCTCGCACCATGATTTCAAGAACCCCGTTCTCTGCTCCGATGGGCAGCGCAGCACCGCCTTCACACGACCCTCCTTAATGATCTCGCTAGGAAGATTTCAGCCCCTGAAGGCGGAACAAACTGTTACATCTTCCCTTAAAGTGAAGAAGAAACACTCCCTCCAAAACAGATGTGTGGGAACTGAGCAGGGCGACGCCGATAAACAGGTTTGTTTTCTTCCCGGCAGCTCCCTCGTCTTTCACAACCGTGTTGTTCAGAGACGCAATAGACCAAACTCTACCTGTTGCTTAATCTTTAAGCTTGTTGGATTGCCCAGCTGTTAAAAATAAACAGAAGTCCTCCGCTGCCACACAGCCTCAAGCATTCTGCTTTCATACTGTATGTGAAATGGGAGCAGTGGCTGTTGTGAGAGCAAGTGCAGCAGCGTACATGCACAATACAAATAGCAACAGGACATTAAAGGGAGATGGGAATTATCCATACAGCTGATATGCACAAAGGCCACACTTACTTTTAAAAAGATGTCAAGTGGTGGTGGGGAGGTCAGGAATTCTGATTTAAAAACAAACAAAAAATTTAATTCCTGTTCATATTCCTCAGTTCAAACAAATTAGATCATTCTAAAAAGTGATCCTGGTTCTGAATCCTCCAGCAGTAATAATTGGTGCACCGAAATACTATTGGAACATGTACAAACCCAACAGCACAGGAGAAGGGATACACCCTTGATTCCTGGAAACTGCAAATTATTTATTCTGATTAACATTTCAGTTACCGTAACCTTTAGAATGGCAGTTGGCAGTTGGTGAGCCAATAGCAGAAGTCTTGCATATGCATGTTCAAAAGCTAAGCTACTTCATCTACTTTCCCCCTCTTTCCTCCTTTCTCTACTTTGCACAACACAGCAGTCTCTCATTCTGGCAAGATGTTCAAAATCAGGACATTGGTGCAAAAGTTCTGGATTCTCTTTGAAGTGTGCTTCTTTACGGCTATTGGTAAAATCTGCTTGATCTTATTCCCAGCTACCGCAAAGAGATATATTTTGAAGCAAGGGGGAAAGAGCAGCATGGCAAGAAACCCCAATTTCGACTATGAAAACTGGGGTCCAACTTTCTTCAGTTTCCAGTACTTACTCTTCGTCTTGAAAGTCAGATGGCAAAGGCTAGAAGACGAAGTGTCTCAAGGCTGCCCTGCACCCAACACCCCTCTAGTAGATTTTAGAGGGGAAATACGTCACATACGGGACTTCATGCATGGTAAGTTGAATATTTTTAAAGGTCTCCTGGTATTTGTTAACACAAGCTGCCATTTGGCAACTCATTTAAAAACATGGTTTCTGATTCTGTACTGTTAGCTTATCGTGAACCATGGTTTGACAATTTAGACACCACATTAAACAATAATTAAGTGGGTGGGTGTGCAGCCTGAATTGAGCCAGAACATATTGAGAAAATTGGGGAAGGTTACAAAAGGCACAAAACAACTCAGGCCAGATATAACTATCTGGAATTAACTGTGAACAAACTGGGTGGTGAAATGGCAAGGTCTGTATTTCACGTGCATATTAATGACTTGAGAAGAACTCCAGTAAGTAAGCAGCAGATCTCAGACTCTCTTCTCCCTGGTCAGATCCAGACCATACATTCAAAGCACATAACTTCCCTCAAAGAATTATGGGGACTGGTAAGGGTGTAAGGAATTGTAGTTCTGGCAAGAGGGAGGAGAGAAAATGACAGTTTCCGGTAACCATGTGCTTTGAAAATGCATTGAATTCGTTTTAAGTACATGATGTGGGTTTAGAAAAGAGACAGTGATTACTAAAGCTCCAGGTTGCCCAAATGTACTGTCAGGAGAAAGAACAAACACACTTTGCTCTCTCTTACAACATACTCTTCAATCATTAAGCTGCACTTTCTAATAAGTAACTGCACTGTCTTTAATATGCACAGAAAAGTCAAAGCATGCATATGCACATTCTCAAAACTTACACTGTATGGTCTGTGCATTCTTGGTTGTTGAGTATGACTGAGGCAAAATGTGTTTTGGAATAAGAACCAAAGAAAGATATTTCATAGACTGTCATGAAAGGGTGATACTGTTATGTACAGTGGTACCTCAGGTTAAGTATTTAATTCGTTCTGGAGGTCCGTTCTTAACCTGAAACTATTCTTAACCTGAAGCACCACTTTAGCCTATGGGGCCTCCCACTGCCGCCACGCCTCCAGAGCACAATTTATGTTCTCATCCTGAAGCAAAGTTCTTAACCTGAGGTACTATTTCTGGGTTAGCGGAGTCTGTAACCTGAAGCGTATGTAACCCGAAGTACCACTGTACTGAAGTTCTCACCCTGAGCCAGCAGGGGGATACTGTAGATAGTTTTCACTCAGGTCCACATATGCAAATAAGGAATTGAAAGTGACGTTCAGTGATTGGATAGTTACAGAAAGTTGTTACTGTTGCATTGTAGTGGAGCTCTATATAAGCAAGATGGCTGAACCCTTCAGTTCTGGCCTGGCCTGTGAATAAACAAGAGCTGTTTGAAGAATCTCTGTGTTGTCTGATACGTTCACCCAGTGGCGTAGCGTGGGTTGTCAGCACCCGGGGCAAGGCAAGTAATTTGCACCCCCTAACCCGTGGATTTGCGCCCCCTAACCTGTGGATTTGCCCTAACCCCAGATGTTGCGCCCGGTGCGGCCGGCCCCCCCTGCACCCCCCAAGCTACGCCACTGCGTTCACCCACAACTTAACAGATACCATGAAGATCATAATGGCTAGCTCAGTCAGTAGAGCATGAGACGCTTAATCTCAGGGTCATGGGTTCAAGCCTCACATTGGTGAAAAGATTCCTGCATTTCTGGGGTTGGACTAGATGACCCTTGTGGTCCTTTCCAACTCTTCAGTTATATGATTCTATGAGGTTGTAGGTGGCCCATTTGAGTTGCAGGATAAATGGAAGCACCCTTAGCATACTGGAAAGTGTATGTGTGGAATCCGGCATAGAGCTAAGGAAATTGTTCCATCCCCTTCTCCTCCCCCTCCCCCATTAAATGCATTCTATGGGTTTCCCTAACCCAATGGAACAGATTTGAGGATGGTGCAGGGTGTGCACAGAGGAGCAGAGGAAGTCCCATTGTGCAAGCAGAAATCCTTGCTGTAATGGGATACATTAGTAGAATGCCATCCTGCTTGTCTCCCAAGGTTTGCGTTCTCATAGGATCAAATATTAGATGTCCTGTGTACAAGGAATGTGGAAGAATTCTTGACTGGTACTTTTTAAGGAAAACACTATAATTCTAGTTTCATTACACTTTGAAGACTGCTTATGTCTGTTGCAGAAACGAGGCCTTTGGTCTTGGCATTTGGAAGCTGTACCTGACCTTCATTTATGTTCAAATTTGGCAAATTCAAGAAGCTCATCGAAGACTTCAGATTTGCAGCAGATTTCCTTATAATCTACATTGAAGAAGCTCATGCCTCAGGTAAAGTAAGATTACTATGGGTAATTTTTACACACATTCACACATCCCTCTCTATCCTCTATCCAGTCAAGCAAAAACACTCAAGGAGGGTACAAATCAGGGCTGGTGAGGAGCATGGCTGAGGAGGGCGTATCACTTGGGGATAGTTTTAAGGGTAAGATAGAGAGGCCTGGAAGGCCACATTTGCCCTCACCCCTGGGCCTCAGGTGCCCCATTACTGTCATAGCACATAGACAGTAACTAAACTACTATAGCATATTTTAAATTCAGGAACAGGGAACAAGTGATCCTCCAGATGTTGTTGGATTCCTACTCCCATCAGCCATAGCCAGCCATGGTCAATGGTCAGGGATGATGGGAGTTGTAGTCCAACAATATCTGGAAGGTCACAGATTCCCCATATCTGTTTTAATTGTTAATTTCTTAAAAGGGATTAGAAGATGCAAGAAAGTGCTTGTATGCCTCTAAATATGTTAACCTTTTGGTCTCAGTATTGAAAATCAAAACAAATGCTTAAAAACTAGGGTGCTTGGTTGGCCACATCAATTTTAAAAATGAGGATTTAAATACTTTGGGTGGTATTCAACTAAGTTTCACTGAGAATGCACCCACTGAAATTAATAAACATGGCAAAGTTAGGTTCAATAATTTTAATAGATCTACTCTGAAGAAAACTTAAGTTGAATACCACCTTTTGCCAAGTTTGCCTCATTTATAAATCAGTAAAAACTGGATTAAAATATAAATTTTATTTATCCAACTTAATACTCCGACATACAATTCTACAATTCTGAAGGATATTAATAAATGTTGCTATGTCTAGATGCTATATGATTTGCCTAATCATGCTGTTTGCTTTAGATGGATGGGCTTTTAAGAACAATATTGCCATTAAAAGTCATCAAACCCTCCAAGATCGTATCCAGGCTGCACAGATCCTACTGAAAGAGAATCCCTCGTGTCCAGTGGTTGTAGACACAATGGAGAACCTAAGCAGTTCCAAGTATGCAGCTCTACCAGAAAGGCTTTATGTCCTTCAAAAAGGAAATATTATCTACAAGGTAATAAAAATGTTATTAGTAGTTTGGTAGGACCCTTGCAATCAGCACAGCATGTATCACAACATGATAGTTGGTCTGGGTAGCCTGAGTGCCTTAGATCATATTAAGAAAAAGTATGGAATAATTCCTACCCTTGTATGAGTCAACCAAGAACCTTCTCATGAAAGTGGAGACTACGTCCACTGCATTGTCTTCTTTTAGAGTTAACTTGGAATCTGCCTTGACTTAGCAGGCCTCCTGAATTTACCAATCTGTTTCTAAATGTCATTAACTTTACCAAGATTTGATCCTATGAGAACTGCAACTTGAATCGCCTTAAAGAGAAAGAGATACAGTAGTCTACTGCAGGGGTAACCAGAGTAGTGCCTTCAAGAAAAGACTCCAGAAGTTTTACTCCAGCAGTTTTAGTCCAATAAAATCTGGAGGGCACCCTGTTAGCAACCCTGGCAACTACACTGTGTTTCTCTCGTGCTTGTATAGTTGCAAAATATGCATTACGTGTAAATAGGTGCAGGAAAATGTGTGGAGGAAATCAGGTTTGGAGGGTTGCCATTCTGAGCTGAGCAGACTAGAGATAAAGGGGTGTTTAACCCTCTTCCAGCTTAAGGTTTCCAAACCTAGTTCCTTTCCCCCTTTCCCTGTGGGATTCCATGTACTTGTTTGTAAGGATGAACAAGCACCTGGGACCTTGTGGGAGAAAAAGCAGTTTGGGAGTGACTTGAACCTGAAGGAAATGCAGGTGGGGTGATGTGTCTGCTTATGTGTTCAGAGCAACAGCTGTCCAAGTCTGCTTTTCTTAACAACAACAAAAACACTGCATGCATTTATTTAGTTCCTTGAATTTATTTCTCACCCTTTCTCCCAGTGTAATCACTTGTGTAATTTTGCCTCTCATCTCACAGGAGATGGAAAACAATAACTTAGTTGGGAGATACAGTATTTGTATAATTGCAAACCATTTTGAATTCTATTTTTGACATCTAATTGCTAAATAATTGGCTGATGCCAAATATTGTCTCACTAAATGAAGTGAAGATGAGGAATATCTTTTCATGAAGATGAGGAATATCCGTAATTAATTGCATCACTTTTGTACAACCTGCATCCTCCTCCCTAGAAATTGCTCAGAGACATAATGGTATTTCTTCTTTTACAGGGTGGAGTGGGACCCTGGAATTATCACCCAGAAGAAGTACGTGAAGTCTTGGAAAAACTGCTTTAGAACTATAAAACAGGCCTAATAACAATCTCATATGTGAACAATACAGTAACATCATAGTCTGTTGATTAAAGGTTACATACAACCCATGAAGTCATCCCACTAGTGCATGGACATCTGCCTTGCAGCTGCTTCCTCTGCTAGAACGGACTATTTCTTCAGGAGATCAGATTATCTTTCTCAGTCAAAACAGAGCAGTGGTATGGGTAGCATGTCTAACGTTTGTAATGTTTATTCGAGGAGGTTATAGAAAATTTCTGAGATATTGTAATGGTTTGTTAGTCTTGTTTCTATTAATATTTGTTTATGATGGTCATAGCTTAAAACAAGGGGCTGTGACTTGATTTACAAAAAAAAATATTAAGAGAAACAATATACTAAATTATTATGATCCATCTGTCTCATACCATCTTTACAGGCTTGTTGTTTTTAAGTGTCATCGTTTGATATTGTGGTTGTCAAAAGGAGCAAAGGAGAAACACCAACTACAGAATGCTGGATGGTGGTGGTTGCATTGGTGAAAGACGGAGGCTTATTCCATAACAGATCACTTTAAGTTCTCTGTTTTCTAATGCTGTATTGGATAGATAATATGCAGGAGAGATTTTGATGCCAGAAGATTCCTGAATATTCATCCAACTCAGACCATTGCTAGAACAAATGCCTTGGAAGGAATACTGTAATTTTAGGTGGATCTGTCCAGCTAGCAATGTTAGTGTACTAGTTAGTTGCTAGTGTGCAATTATAGCACACTATTTGTTGGTGGTGGTGGGACACGGGTGGCACTGTGGGTTAAACCACAGAGCCTAGGACTTGCCGATCATAAGGTCAGCGGTTCGAATCCCTGCAACGGGGTGAGCGCCCGTTGCTCGGTCACAGCTCCTGCCAACCTAACAGTTCGAAAGCATGTCAAAGTGCAAGTAGATAAATAGGTACCGCTCCAGCGGGAAGGTAAATGGCGTTTCCGTGCGCTGCTCTGGTTCGCCAGAAGCGGCTTAGTCATGCTGGCCACATGACCTGTAAGCTGTATGCCGGCTCCCTCGGCCAATAAAGCGAGATGAGCACCGCAACCCCAGAGTCGGTCACGACTGGACCTAATGGTCAGGGGTCCCTTTACCTTTACTTGTTGTTGTTAACACTACCTATGAATCTGTCTTCTTAAGATATTCTAAGCATTCCCAAGTATACAAATGTACCTGTTGCAATTATTTTACATTTGGCTTAAAAAAAGCAAACTGGGAACCCCATGCCATATAGCATGCTTGGTTGAACATGCTGCCTTAGCCTGATAGGACCTGGACTCCAACAATATGTCGAGGGCTACAGATTCTCCACCCTTGCCATAATTACCAAAATACACTTGAAATCTCCCCAGTTTCAAAAGCAGTATGGCATGTGAAGTGAAAAGCTACTCTTCGAGAAACTGCAAGCTCAAAGGCCCTTTGTGTATCTGAGACTAGTCATATGGTCCTTTTGATCCTAAATATTGCTTATCTGGGTCTTGCTTGGCCTACATGTGCATCACACCCAACCATGACGATATGTTCTGTGCATACAGTAGAACAGCCATGATGGAGTAAAATGGACATTGTACCATGTCTGGCTCTTTCCTATGAAAGCTGCTTGAATCTGAGTGCACATTTTTGCTGTTTTCAATCAAGGCTTCCAGTGACTTGGCATTCTGCAGAGTGGCAGAAAAGCAACCACATCAGCCTAACATGTTTTGGCAAACTGATACTGGTAGTGTGTCAAAGGTCACTTCATGAAGAACCACTTGTACAACAGGGTCCCGTTTGTTCATCTTTCTTCCTTCTCCCATATGGATTCTGGTAATACATAGTCCATGTTTATGGGAGTCTGTCCATACAAACAGTAAAACTGAAAGAAAAAAAATTAATGGAAAGATCCAGCCCCATAGTCCCTTTGCTGATTGATATAAAAGGCATGCTCAGTTCTTCTACATCTTTTATTTGGGGAGGGGAAGGTTGCACAGTTTATGGTTTTATCCTTTCCTGCTGCTTTCCACCTTGCTTCACAGTCTGGTCTACAGGATCAGGTCTACTGCTGTTTGTTTGGGAACTATGAATTTCATTGCTCTAATATGCTAGGAACATAGAATTATTTACAACAGATCGATTGGAGAGAGATAGCTATTATGTTATTCACTTGGATTGATTGCTTTGTCAGTGCATGCCATTTGTTAATCAATATGCAAATCATATCCAATGCCTAAATATTTAATCATATGTTGTATTCATTACTATATATTCTATTTTCTCGATGCATTCTGTATCATTTATAATTCTATTTCACATCATCTCCATTTTTTCATCTCTATTATTGTTTATATATCAAATAAACCAAGTAATTAGTTTCAGTTACGTTCAGCAGTTTGTGGTTTTTCTTGGGTGTTTGTAATTTATTCCCTGTCCCTCTGGGTTGCTATCCTGAGCAAAAACAAACCTTGACTGGGATCCAATGGATAATAATAATAATAATAATAATAATAATAAATTTTATTTATATCCCGCCCTCCCCAGCCGAAGCTGGGCTCAGGGCGGCTAACAACAATCAGAATAGTCCAACATTCTAAAAACATTCATTATAAAATTAATTAAATTAAAATCAAATTAATGGCAACCATCAAGCAAAATTCTGTGCAGATTGCCAGAGGAGGATGTAAGTGCATTGGCCAGGGTTTGGCATGGTGTGCTCGGATGTTGATTTGATCTTTCTGTCAAGAAGCTTGAACTTCACATACTCATAAAAGGGGATATCAAAACTGTCGGGGATACCTCTGAAACAGATAGCTAAACATTTTTACACAAGTGGTTCACTCCACTTTGAATGCTCTGACAGTACTGTAAAATTTCTTTGTGTCAGAGGACCTCTTGATGCATAACAGTGGCTAACACTCCAGCATTGAAGTGGCCAAAATGCAGGGAATATTTCAAATAGTTTCAAATTAATGGAGGTTGTCAGGAATGTCTCTCAAATGGGGTCAGGACATGAGTGAATAGGAGCTCTCCATTTATAAACTTAGATTAAGGAAGTGGTGAGTTCTAGTGGAATAGTGGTATCATATTTACTACATATTTTAACAGAATTTAACAACAGAAAAAACGTCTGTGACAAAGATATACAAAAGACACAGTTTAGAAAACATACTTTACTGCTTGGATTACATAATCTATAATACAAATGTCAGTACAATATTTATACAGTTGTGATTGTAGCACATTAAGTTTGGTTTTCACTATCTTGCGTTATTCCTTCTGCTATCACCCTATGAACTGACACAAAAGCATCATAGCCAGACAAAATAATGAATCGCAAGTATGTCGCTTGGATCTCAGGAAACTGCCAAAAAGAAATAATAATAATAACAACATCAATAGTTATAGAACTATGGGCACAATTCAGTGCAAGTGAAGCATTTTTCAATGGCAATAATTTCAATGTGAGAGATTTAAGAGCTTTTTTAATTTACAAAAACTGAAATCAATATGACTTGAAATCACTTAGTTTTAGATGAAATGTATTCTGTAGTTGTTTGATACTCAGCATGGGAATACTTAATTAATTGAAAAATAAACCATTGTATGCTAGAAAGAATCTGAATCTAAATCTTGCTATACTAAAGACATAGTATAAAACTCCCCAAATTATACTCAGGTTACAGGAGTGAGCTGATGACAGGTATGGTCAAGATCAAGCTAAGTAAATTTCAGATTGATTTTTAAAAATTTGATCTGAATCAGAGTTCCTCTATATTACTGCTTTTTGCTTAATATTTAAGAGGCTTGGGAATTTAGCAACTATGGAGATAGAAGTTGTATCACGAAAAATTACTACACATTTAGTGTTTCGATATAGCTATAGATATAATTATGACTATTCATTTTCACACATATACACATATAATACAGTTAATGTAAAAAATGATGAATATTGACAATCCTACACATTACAGGGGGTGCAATCCTAAATACATTTACTGATGTGTAAGCTCCATTGAGCTTAATGGGACTTACTTCTTAGCAAACATGCTTAGGATTGCACTGCAAATGTGCAAAAATACATAAACCAGCCGGTGTTCATAATCCCTAATGGTAACTGTCATCACTCAAAAGTATAAACTACTTTGGTTCAGATATGGGACTGTAAAAGGCCTCTATGTTTTAGCAGTTAACTGTAACATAGGCATATATATATAATAGTAGGAACATGAAAACATTGCTTCAGATTTTATCAAGCTCCTACTAATGTCTACATTACCTTGCTGACTAAAGATTTTCCCACAAATTCATTATGCACTCTTTGCATACACTGCATTAATGCTAGATGGCATATACTTACCGAAAATTCTTCTGTTTGAAGTTCTCCTTCTTTATGTTGCAGCTCTGAATATAAAACAAACAAGCAGCACCTTAATATGTAACATGATGCTTGGATTCTGGATCTGAAAATTCACTGGAGCATAAAAACTCACAATCCTAGTAAAGATCTAAATTAACTCCAATAAAGTTAACACACTCCGTAGATGGTATGTCCCAAGCTTCATTAGGGCCACAATGTAATCCTCTTTAAAATAGTTTAAAATTAGCAACTTCTCCCATAATAATCCACCCAAGGTTATCAAAGACCCTTCAAAATAAACTATATTTTCCCTGCTATATTATTTTTAAAAAATACTCTTAGACCAATTGCAGACATAGACAAAGGAAACATTTAATAGCTTCCCAGAAAAATATTGTCATGGAAGGTAAGAAATTACCACCTGGGTTCCAAATAGTAACAGATATTTATAGATCACTTTTGCTAAGTGCTCCAAGCACTTCATATACAATATCTGAATAATCATAGCAACCAACAACCCTATAAGATGGGGTAATATAAAACGCACTAAATTGTTCAATGAATGGCACAAAACAAATTATAAGCAGGCAACAGCAACAAGTCAGCATCTGGAAGTTGTGGAGAACCAGCCATTGGTTCCTTAGATATCACAGAAGTGTGCTTTGATCCTAGTCCTGCTTCGTATATGCAAACTTATTCCAAATGAGTTCAATAGGACTTCCTTCTAATAAGAGATATAGGATTGCAGCCTTAACTGATTTGTACATCAAATTGCAATCATCCACCTAATTAGAACTGTTACATCAAGTAAAGAATTACCTTTTTCAATGCATTCTTCAAAATCAACTGGATCTTTAGACACGCTTTTTTCAATCCGTAATGTCTGCACTAAGGACAGTGTTAAGAAAAGAAATCCTTGGTTAAGGCTGCCTAGTTTCACACAAAATTCATCAACAAAGTAGTACTTAGCTTTTACATTACAATATTAATGTTCAATCATGCCTAAGATTTCATTAATTATGACAATTCACAGTATGAGATATAGAACTGTTAAAAGAAAATCTAGGCTGAGTTGCATTTGGGATGTATCTATAACCTTGTGATCAGTTGAATCCCCTCTGCATGTGAAAAAACCCCACAAGTGGTTGTACTTTATCCATTGTACTTTCATACACAAACTAGCACCCACATTCACACAGTTTTCTACACAGCTGCTCTAACCTATATAGAACCACAAGCGCAGAACCCTACACAAAACCTCACTGATCAGTGTTCCTCAGCTTTGCTAGTTGTGCGGGCCCCTGCTAGTTGCCAAATGTGCAGGTGGATAGGGCTGCTGTGAGAACCAATTTCCCACTCCCCATGCCCCCCAAAAATGGGTGGACAGGTGGAGAGCTGCCTTCTGGCAGTAACCTCTGGAAGGCACTGAAAAAGGGCCTTCAAATGGTGGGCTGGGGCAGGGCTAAATCAGCCATAA